TTTATTTGTAGAGTGATATTTTTCAAAAAAAAAATCATTTCAATCTTTAAATTAGCGTTTGTACTTAAAAAAAAAAAAAAAAAAAAAAAAAAATTTTCTCACATATTTATATATTAATAGTTATTTGCCATATCCCATCCCCACTTTTTGTATTTAGTTTCTACTCATTATTATTAATGCGCGCGAGATTATTATTATATATATTTTTTACTTTCTTTTTTTTTTATATATCTTTATTTATTTTTAAAGTGATATTATCAAGAGTCATATACATACGTACATATAAGCAACCTTTGGTAATATTGCCTCGCACGCTTTAATTTACACAAAAAAAAGGAAGAAAAATTATCGTTAAAAAAATATAAATATATCGAAATTTTCTGCTACATAATTCAAATATTTTATCACGTGAGTACGCGAAGTTTTCTTGTCAATTAAAATTGCGTTAAAGGTTGTAGAAACGGAGTATGTAAAGTAAAAAAATTATCGTTACAAGCTTGTAAAAATTTCACAATAATAATAAACGTTTGAATAGAAGACATTTGTAAAGAAAAAGTTTTATTTGCGCATATTAAAAGTTCACCTTGATTCCTCACGAAATGGAGCTATAAATGCCATTTACAAAAGTTAAAATTTAATGAAAAAAAAATATAAAATATTTTTTTTTCAAAAGAGATAATATAATAAAATATATATATATATATTGCAAATTATGAAAAAAAAAATTTTGCTGCCGTAGCAGCTATCCACTCAAGATAACGTGTCATCCTTGTGCAGGGGCCATGCTAATCTTCTCTGTATCGTTCCAATTTTAATAAGTGTCGCTCCGAAGAGACGACACTATAATACCCAACGCTAAGTTTATAAAGGGCTAGAAAATTGGATTTGAAAAAATTATGGGATTCCAAATAAACCACACCTCTACACACCGTACGTATTTGACGCGATTTTGATTGGCCAATTTTCTTCGTTCTGAATAATGATTGGATGACCAAAGTGCTTGAGATGATCGGCGGTTGTGATAAAAATCGTCTATTCTATAATAAATATTGCTCATCTCATCTATTTCTCGTACTTTTTTATTTTACCATGTTTTCTTCTAAATTAAATAAAATTAATTTGCCACTTTTACGTAACAAACTATTTTCCGAGACGCAACAAAATTACTCCCTTTATTCTATTTTGCTTCGACGACATAGTAATAAAAAGTAATATAACTCCAAATGACTCGTGACTTTTTTTTTCTCCTTATTTTTTAACAGAATATAATTTTTTTTCTTTTTTTAGGTTAAGTATCCATGAAAAAACCTTGCAACTTGAAAAAGAAATAAAGAAGCTGGAACAAAAAATATTGAAGTTTGATAAAAAAGCTATTGCCTCGGAGGTATTACCTCATTTAAACATTTTTTTTTTTAAAAAAAAAAAAATAATAATATTTATATATTTAAATCTTGAATGTTAGTCAGACAGTCAACCACTATTATCAGAAGACCTTTACACAAATGTATATAAAGCAATTTCCGACCCTTCCGTACCTCTTCCTCGACGACTTCAATCTAATTTTACAAATAATCTTAAATTACCGATGGATTCTCTTCAAGCGTGTCAAAGATCACCTTTTCCTTCTATAAGTGATTTGAAAGCATCCAAGCAGGATCAAGCAAATGCAATAACTGAATGGGACAAAGAAAACTTGGAATCCTTGGAACAATTTAATAAATGGTTGTACGCTTGCGTAAGTTTTTATATTTATTATTTATAAACTTTTATCATTTGCTAATTTTAAAAGAAAAAATCAAATTTAATTATATCTAGGCGTTATTGAAACGACCTGATGAAGTCTTGGATATATTTTTATTGATGGAGGTTAGAATAAAACAAAGAACGTCGTTCCCTTAATTCGCGCATTTTATATTCTAATCAAATTAAAGTTATTTATTTCAGAAAGCAGGTATTACCCCTAATATCATTACGTATGATAATTTAATAAACCTTTTCGCTTCTGTTGGAGATCTACAAAAAGCAATCGAATCATTTGAATTGATCGAACCTGGCAAGTATCTAAATTATTTAAATATTGATTACATTATTGCCTTTAATATTAATCGTTAATATAATATGTATTTATTTAGCTGGTCTTAGGCCGACGATACATAGTTACGCGAATTTGATTAAAGCATACGTTAAATATAATCGAGTCGATGATGCATTTAATGTGTATTCAAATATGAAAAATAGTGGGGTGATGCCATCTCAGGTAATCTAATATTCAAAAATTTTAAAATCTTTTTTATTTCTATTCTGAAATTTTATTCGTCCTTTTTTTTTTAAAAAAAAAAAATTATAGCCTATTTTTACAACCCTAATTAAAGGGTGTATTGACAACGGAGAAATCAAGCGTGCATGGACAACATTTGATCATATGCGGTTGGAAGTATGTCAACCCGATGAGGTTACGTACAGTTTAATGATCCGCGCGTGTGCAAAGGTCGGTATATAAATAAATATGATGATCGGATTGAATAAACCCCATACTCATTATTCTCATTTATTCTCGTAGGAAGAAAATTCTGAAAGGGCTTTTGATTTATACCAAGAAATGAAAGAAAAAGGATTATATCCAACTGACGTGACATTTAATTCTTTGATTCATGCTTGCGCAAAAAGAAAAGATATCCTTTAGTATATTTGATTGCTTCTATATTTTATATATATATTCTTAATTAAATTCTTACATTATTATGAAGAAGCATTTAAATTACTACACGAGATGGAAGAATTTGGTTATCAACCCGATACGATTACATATAATTTATTGATGTTTGCATGCTCAAAGAAGGGAGATTTACAAATGGCTAGGAATCTGTTAATATCAATGATACGAAGGTGAGATTATCTGTGCTCTGTTATAGACATTTTATATACGCCCAACCAACCGATCACGATCGCTTCTTTTTTTTTTGTTTATAGTGCAAAGACCTATCCGTCATTGGCCCCAGATGAGTATACATTTACGAATTTATTTTGGACGTATTCTACCTATAGAGAACCCATGAATTACATAAGTAGAGATCAACGAGAAGAAATATTAAAAAATAAACAATTAGACGCAGAGGCAGATGCAGAGGCCTTGTTATCGGGAGGTAATTCTTTGGAATTTTCTCAGAGGCATCAAATTGATCAGAGAGATCTGTTGGACGAAAATGAGATTGCAGATATGAAAACTCATTTGTTATCTGGAGTTGAAAATAAAGATAATTCTTTGGAATTATCTCAGGGACAACCAATTGATCAAAGGGAACTGTTGGACAAGGATGAGATTGTAGAGATGAACACTCATCAAGAACTACAATCCGAATTAGTAATAGCAAATGAAGCACAACGAGAGAACGCGATTTCAGAAAATAAAGACTTGGTAATGATCGGATCCGGTACTTATCCATTATTGCGCAATGTGCCTGTTACTTACGCACAAACGGTTACAGAAGTGGAAATGATTTTCAATTATATAATCACATCGCAAACAAAGGAAACGACATCTCCATTTCCCATAACATTGTCACCACAGTTAATTACCTCATATTTAGGCGTTCTAATTAAAAAGGCCCGTTATCCCAGTGTTTTTGATTTTTATCAAAATATAATACCAAAACTTAATGTTGAATTAAACGGATGGATATTTTTAAGTATATTAGATGTATGTTACAAACACAAGAGGGTTGATGAATCTTGGAGAATTTGGAAAGATTGGGAGAATTGGCGCGAACAACAAAATGAAAAGATTTACGAAAATGATTATGTTAGGAAGAAAGCATTTAAAGAAATCGGAATGACTTCAGAAATGGAATACAAAATTTATAGATCAATGATCAAAATTTTGGCTAGGTAAAGTAGTCAACATGCATTAAACTCTAACACCTTAAAACACGTTATCCTAACATTTTATTTCAAAAAATTTATTAGGAGTAATGAATTACAAAGTGGTATTAGATTACTACAAACTTTATCAAATTTACAAAGACCTGATATTAAAGACTTTATTTTATTGTTGCAAAAATGTGTTGAAAATGATGATGAAATGGCACAAAGAAAAGTAATTAATTTATGTTATAATGATCCAGAAAGAAGTAAAATATTGAAATCTAGAAATTTATTAGCAAAAAAATGGAAAGGACAAGGAATCAAATTACCACCTAGAAACAAATTCGAGGAAAGCGAAGGAAGGATGGGACGGTTTAATAAAAAGAGGGATGGAAATAAAAAATGGGAAAACGATAGGGGTGGTGAAAAATGGCATTTGCATGATGGTAAATAAATGTTCTTAGATAATGACTTTGATCGATGATGAGATGTTAACTTTCCTTAATAAAAGCTAAATTTATCATTGCGTCGCGTAAAAAGGCGCGATTAATACGTCGAAGTTCGGGGTATAAGATAGCTTGACCACATGATAAATCCGAAAATGATTCGAGTATAATTAAGTGATAATTAATTGGCGTGATTGAGAGTTGGCTTAAGAGATTGATCTAATTTAATCTCGATTCACAATACTCATCGTGTAATGTCAAATTGGTACATATAGTAGTATATTGTAATATAAAAAAATTCCAATTTCGGAAGTGGTCATAGCGCGAGGTAATATTCTTAAATTTCATACGTAATCTCAATAATGATCAGTTTGAGATTGTGATATGATATTAACTAATAATCCCGATTTCAAAGTATCGGATCATAATTTCTCCAACCTTATTTTTTTTTTTTTAATGCATTATATCTCAAATGGGGAGATGCAATTTCGTGATGAGGACACATTTCTTTACACGATCCTTTTATCTGTAGATTGATACATCACGTAAATGTCATACATTTCACGTATAAAAATTTTTTTTTTTTTTTTTTTGCAAATGGTAAAGATTTATTTGATATACTGTAAATTATCTATAAAATTATTAAAATCAATTTACAAAGTTCTAAATTATTAGTCTAAAAAATTTCTATAATTATTGGGATCTAGGCCTTTCATCTTCACTAATTATTTCAGTAGTAAAATCATAATCATCAGCTATTGAATCATCATAGAAAGTTTCATAAAGAACGTGATCATTGCTTTTATGAAAAAGTTTATAAACTTCAACCCTTTCAGAAATAAAATGTTCATAATCCACGATCTTTTTTTCAAAGATTTGTTGCCTACATACACCTTTAATCCAATTTAAATCATTACCAAACCAAGGAAACTTCTCAGAAGTACAACCAACTTTATTAACGGTGGGTTTAATACTACTATATATACCCTTGGAATCATTGTCATCATCATGATTCATGTCTAAAGAAAAGATAAAACAATTTGCCAAGGTATCATATTTTTGGATTTTATTCCAAATATCAGCATTATAACCACCAATTATTTGATTAAACCCCGAAGGTTTGATAAGAACTACGGTTGGACCATGACGATTACATTTCTTGTAAAATTTGTTGATATCTTTTAATTCATCTTGACCACTACGATAAAGTAACTTAAACATATAAGGCATGGATTCGGGTTGATAAGGTTGATGCTTTTTATCAATCCACGAAGAAATCAAAGAGAAATGTTTTAACCTGATTAAAGTAGACTCTTCATCGGTGTACCTTAATCTCTTTGACAAAATGATTGAACGATTTGGTCGTCTACCCGCCAAATAAAATTCTCTCAATTCATTCTTTACTTCTTTTGACAAGATTTTTTTAAAGGGTCTTACTTTATCATGATAATCCGCTCCAGAGATCAAAAAGAATCTAATGTGCGGTAAACAATCTTTCAAAGATGATTTTAACTTTTCAAAATCTTCCGTCTTCCAATTATTTATATCATCCTTTTCTTCAGTATCTAATGAACATTTGACTTTACCCCATTTAATAACTTGATTCCAAATTTCAATCTCTTTTAAATCCAAATTATCACTCATCAATAATTTAGTTAAGATGCTCTCCTCTAAATGTCCAATATCTTTTGATCTCAAAAATGTTGATGAATCCTTTTGTATGATCTCCTCGCACGTCATTTTTAATTTACAAAACGCCTCATGTTTTGATGCAATTCGTTGAATCCTTACTAAATTTTGTCGAAGCCAAAACATTTCTTTTTTAAGAATATAATCGATAATATGATCGATCAATTCGGTTAACGCAAGTTCATCCGCTGCTATCAATATATCAAGGAAGTACGGAAGCATATCTTCCGATAAAGAAATTATTCCGGTATAGATAAATCTAAACGAGAATGTGTGGTGAAAAACATAGATTTATATTTATAATAAGTATAGACTTTTTTTTTCCTAAAAAAAAATAAATAAATAAATAAAATTATCGGATTATTTACCTCAATATAATACGAAAAACGTCGGGTAAGATATTTGGTTTCTTCATCCTAATAATCCCATTGTCGGATTTCGCCCAATTAGTTGATAAAGCTGTGAGAAAATACGCCGATCTAGACCTCAGGATGACGGAATGAGCTTTAAAAATTTCAATATTTTGTTCATGACCAACTTCAATTACAACATTATAATCATCTGCCTCCTGATATAATTTTCGAATATCTCGTAAAAAAGATTTTTCCAATTTATTTTCCATCTTCCTTTTTTTTTTTTTTATTTATTTATTTTTTTTTTTTAAAAGAGAGGAGAAAAACTTTCAAAAAAAAATAAAAAAGGTCGATTCGGTTATATAATCAAATCCCTTAACTTTCCTTCCTTAATAGGGGAGATGTGAAGGTTGTAAATATCAATAATTGTTTCACTTGAAAAAAATGATTTCATATGGTTTCCTTAAAAAAAAAGACGTTGTTTTTAGAATCAATTTATATATATATAGGGTGGTATGCTATCAATTATCATATGACTCTATCCAATTTATAGTGCAGATGTTATTTGAAAGGTTAGGATTATCGTTAACCTAATCAATCAAATGATTTTTTTTGGAGACCGATATTTCTTTGATTGTTATCAACCCTTTTCATGTTTTTTTGAAACGGCATCTTTTTGGTCAAAAAATTGCACGTTAAAAACTGAAACTTTGAAATGAATTAAAATCCGATTTTAATAACCTTTAGGCATTGCTGATCTACAAGCTTAAAATCCCGTTTGAAAAAAAATATGTATTTAATACAGACCTCTGTTACGAATCAAATTTTGAATAATTCTTTCTCTATTTGTAAAGCAAATCGTGAACACAAATACAATAAAAGAAAAGATTATCTCGCTTTAACCACGTATTATTGTCAGCAACCGTTTTTATTTGAGAATCTTCTCTTTTTTTTTTTTTTGGCTAACGGAATCATCTTTTTGATCATGTTTCATATTATAACTAACTCTCTTTTCCGTGGATAGATTAAAATCGTTCCGAGGATTTAATTTTATCTCATTTCCTTTAAAAGCTTGTTTTGCGATAATTCGACTCTTTCCTTTTTTTTTTTTTTTATTGAGTCATTGTTATTTAAAATGTAATCACCAATCTCTATTAGAATTAGTTGCTTTAAAAAATTTATTAAAAAAAGAAGATTATTATACATACAATATAAATTTAATGATTTAAACCTTGATAATATATATAAATAAATATTTTCATCGATTTATGACGCAATTTCAATTAACTGCGCACGGGAATACATAAAGAGAAAAAAAGAAATAAAAAAAAGAGTTTCGCTTGCGAACGTGCACGTTTTTTGAAAAGTCATGTAACGTCGTGATTTATTACTATTCTTAGTCAAAGATCACAGATTAGGTGAACGTTTTGATCAAAATCCTCCTTGACGAGATCTCTGGTATTTATACAGAGTTCATTCCCCCCCATGTTCAAAAAAAAAAGGTTTAACCGATGGAAGAAATCATATAATGATGCTCCTTAAGATAAGATTTCAAATTTTTCGTAACCCTAGGATGCGACAATCGTCATCTGTAATGCAACGAAGGTTATTCAACTCGAGTTTGATGAAACGTCAATCCACATCACCTCTAGGATCGGAAACGAACCTTGTTCCGATGGAATCGATCGACAACAATGTAAATTCAAGAGATCAACCATTGAAGATATGGACGGATCAAGAATTAAAGACCCTTTTTGATGCTTTCTCTAAGCATGGTAGCGATTGGAACATCATATCCAAGGAATACTTTCAAGAAAGTCGAACCCCTTCGGCTTTAAAAAACAAATGGAAACGTGCTAACATTTGGACCAAAGTGGAAGAAAATAAACTCGAAGATGCCATCTCAAAACATGGAGAAGATTGGGAATTTATTTCCAAAGAGTACTTTCAAATGAAACGGACACCTCGAATATTAAAAATCAAATGGAAAACTTTCCTCAAGCGTCAGACGCAAAAATCAAGGACACTTAGAGATGCTGTCAAGGAATACTTTCAAGTAAGTCGATCCCCTTCGTCATTAAAACATAAATGGGTACGTTCTGTTAATCATTTGACCGAAGAAGAAGTAAGGTTACTTCAAGATGCCGTATCAAAACATGGAAAAGATTGGGAATTTATTTCCAAAGAGTACTTTCAAACGAATCGGACACCTCGGGAATTAAAAAACAAATGGAACAATCATTGGACGGAGGATGAAGTAAGGAAACTTAGAGATGCTGTCGCCAAACATGGTGAAGATTGGAATTTCATAACCGAGAAATACTTTCAAGCAAGTCGAACATCTTCGTCAATAAATCATAAATGGATACGTTCTGTTAATCATTTGACTGAAGAAGAAGGATGGATACTTATTGATGCGGTTTCAAAACACGAAGGAGATTGGGAATTTATTTCTAAAAAGTATTTTCAAAAGAATCGGTCAGCTCGGGAATTAGAAATCAAATGGAACACTCTTCTCAAGTATTGGAGTGTGGAAGAAATAAAGAAACTTAGAGATGCCGTTTCTAAGCATGGTAAAGATTGGCAGTTGATATCCAAGGAATATTTTCAAGCAAATCGAACAGTTTCATCTTTAAAAGATAAACATAGTAGGAGCAAAGAAGATAAGATGCTTCTGATCAAAGAACATGACACAGACCAGGAAAACGTTAAAAAAATCAACAACACAAATCCAGAGAATCAAGAAATTTATGATACAAAATCAACTAACGATTATCATACAAAGACATATCGTAAACGAAATAAACATTCATGGACAAACGAAGAGGATCAAATTCTACCCGAACTAATTAAAAATCATGGGATTAAAATAGCTGCCGAAATGTTGAATCGGTCTAAAAGGTCACTATATTCCTATTATAAGAAAAAAGAACATTCTTATGATTCGTTAATGAAAAAATCGAATACGATTTCGAAGAAATTTCAAAAACCTTCGGATGTTGGCGTTGATAAAGATATAGAGACCTCGTGGATTAGAAATTTGGATGAAAGCTCTACATATAAATCAAGTTTACAACGATGCAGAATAAATTGGCAGCAGCTTTGTTTACAAAGTTCTTGATAAAAAGTGACAAATTTATTAAATTTTTTTTTTAAAAATAAATTTTTATTTTTTTTTTTTTTTTGGAATTCTAGATTAGGTTTTTTTTGTTGTTTTTTAAAAAAAAAAAGGGTTTTTGATCCGCGAGTCCGATGTATACCACCGAAAACCGCTTTTGACTTCCCTTTACGGAAGTGATGTTTGTTTGATAATCACGTGTATATGATCGACATTCTCGTTATGCATCAAACAAACAATTCGAAAAGAAGAATAACACGATTCCTTTTATGACATTTCGAATTAAAAATTTTGATTTTTCGAGACATCGCAAACCAAATCGGGGATGCTGATCATATTTATTGTGTTTATGCAAGGGGAATTTACAAAATTCTCCGATAAAAATTTTTTCGACAATTGAAGTGTAACCACTTTTTTTTTTTAAATTAAGGGAAAAAAAAAAAAAAAGGAATGTGTGTATATTATATTTTTAAAATTGATCTTGAATCCAAATTGGCAGAGATTCAATTACCTTATAGGAAAGTTTCTTTTTATAATGTAAACTAAAATGATATTTTTCTAAAAGATATCTGCTCAATTTTATAAATTGTAAACTGCCAACTCTATCGTAATATTCCATGATGAACAAAGAATATTTTCTATGTGGTTCATATATAACAAATAACTCGAAAGAAATCAAATGTATTGAACATGCACTCAAGAATGTTTTAAGTAATCCCATAGTGAAGGAAAGATTTAGGGATAAGTGGTGTAAGGAGTAAGGTAATGAATGAGCTAATTGATGGATCATGGCCTCCGTGAATAAACAATACTCCTCTTTAGGAGATTCTACATACAATTGCTTCAAAGAATTCATCAAAGACAATACTTTACTAAACCTTGATATGGTCTGAGATTTAATGATGATACGCAGATGAGTCAAGTTCACCGAGTACTTTTTTAAATTGATAAAGTATTCGGAACAAAAATATTTACAGGTAAATGTTTTTAAGTTATTCGATATCATTTGTAACAGGAAGGAAATTCCATAGTCATTATGAGTGTTAACGGTAGAACTTTCCGGTTGATTTTGCAAATAACAAAGTTTGTTTACAGAAATATTTGCATTCCTATATTTTAATATGGGCACGTGGTCATTTTTATGGAATTCTTCAACTTCTAACGTGGTTAAATTATTACAAATCACTAACACTTCCATTAAACAACTTAATCTAACCCTACCGAATAATCTAATATGACTTAAGGAATCCCCTTGTTTACATAATGAATTAAAGATCACTTTATCATGTCGAGGTATCCAAATTTCGTTTATCTCAAAACTTTTTAGAGCCCTTTGGGATCCAACTAGATTCGCAATCGAATTATAAATTGATTGCACGCTAAATTCTGTATTATTTAAACGGAAAGATAAATGTTTGATATTCGTCGCGGATGATGAGATGGTATTAAGGAAATTTGGCCATGTTATCGAATAAACTTCATCCATGATACAGCTTCCATTAAATCTAAATGATTGAATCTTATCCAACGAATTGTTTATCAAGGAATGACTTGAACCTACTCTCTCTTCTCTTTTTCCTCCAAGCAACGATAATGAATGGTCTAATGTAAGGATGATCTGTCTAGACAGATGAGTCCGGTAATAATCAAATTCTCTGATACCTCGAGATCGAGAAAAGATCATGTTGACGATAACGCTGGATATGATCATCCTTTTCCCATTCATGTGCAAAAAATCGATTTCGTTTCCGGTAACGAAATCCTCGAGACCTATAGCAAAATTGCTATAGATAAATGTCAAGAGGAATGAAGGGTAATCAAATAATGGTGGGGATGGATGGGTTGGAATTCGAATCTGTTGCTGACGCAACAGGGACTTCTCTGATTCATCCAAACAGCAGATATATGTACGTACGGCAAAATATCCATAATAATTCGGTTTCATGAATGGATTGCTCCATAATATTGGTATGGCTAACCTACACCAAAGTCTGCTCACCAGGATACAAGAATGCAAAGACTTTCGATCATCACTTAAACAACGGAATATTTCATCCAATATATCTGGTATTAATACTGGTTTGGATTTTGTTAACTTTGAAAGTTTTGGAAATTTTAACTTGTTTGAAAATCTTTTGATGGAAAAGTTACTATGTCCCATTTTCTTTTGGGGGAATACCGGTTATGAGATAGATAAAAGAATGTGTAATGATAAAGTTTAAAAAGGAGAAGGGAGAGTATAAGATGGTAAGGAGAAAAAAGAGAAGAATAATTATTTTTTTTTTTTTTGTGTGAATGAAGGAGCTCATCGTTTTATAAAAGAAATTTCATGATTTGTCCGAATATGTGTGTATTACCCGTAAATTCCTAAAGAAGTAACATAACCTTATTCTTAAAATTCTGAAAATCGGATCATCCTTCTTTACTAAATACCAATAATAATATTTTTGTTGTGGTATGTCCACGTCACGGTCGTAAGTAAAAATAAAGATCAAAACCATTTGTTCAATTTTTATAAATATGACATGGGAGTCTATCACCTGTTCACTTGTTAACCTTTACACGATGTTTGTGACACTGCGATACAGGTGCGATTAATAGTCGGTTTCATATTCGGCGTCGAAATTGATGAAACCGACCAAGTTATCATTGATAGATCGTGACTTGTAGCTTTTTTTTCGCAAAGTCACGCGATTAGAATGATGCCTAGCTTCGGTCCGGCTGGTCCATATAAGGATCATTTTTATTAAACTATTAAACCATTTATTCATAGTGACAGATTCCGTTTATAAATTGTTTTAATTGCAGTTTTTCAGGAGAAAGTTTGTGTTACGTAATACAGGTTTAGAGCTTATTAATGTTTATAATACATTTATCCGTGATGACAGCGGTTCAATGGAAAGGAACTAACCAAAAACTCTATCGTCATTTCTTTCATGTAATTCTTTTAAACGTTTTTTCTTTTTTTTTTTATCTTTTTTATTTTTTTAAAAAAAAAACTTGATTGTCAAAAAGCATTTATTGTATTTTACAAACAAACTCGTTTTTAATTGAGT